AAAAAAAACTCGGCCGGGCGCGGTGGCTCAAGCCTGTAATCCCAGCACTTTGGGAGGCCGAGACGGGCGGATCACGAGGTCAGGAGATCGAGACCATCCTGGCTAACAAGGTGAAACCCCGTCTCTACTAAAAATACGAAAAAAAGCTAGCCGGGCGAGGTGGCGGGTGCCTGTAGTCCCAGCTACTTGGGAGGCTGAGGCAGGAGAATGGCGTAAACCCGGGAGGCAGAGCTTGCAGTGAGCCGAGATGGCGCTACTGCACTCCAGCTTGGGCAACAGAGCGAGACTCCGTCTCAAAAAAAAAAAAAAAAAAACTCATAAGATTTTAACAAAGTTTACAAATTTGTGTTGGGCTGCATTCAAAGCCATCCTGGGCTGCATATGGCCAGCAGGCCATGGGTTGGACAAGCATGGTTTACAGTATTCATATCTTTAGTTTAATTTCAGTATGTCTTCTATTGCAGTTTTATGTACAGGTGGGATTTACCTGTACAGTTCTTAGTTTTATACTCAGAACTGTTACTGGCTAACTTCTGGTATCATTATAATATATTTGAAATAATAAATATTAGTTTAGTTCTCAGCTAAGGATGAAAAATGAGCTTGAAGATTTTAAATATTTTTATTAGAAGATATTTTATTTCTTGTCTATGACCATATTACTGTTTTAAAATTGTAAATAGATAAAATATTTTTAATGAATGTAAAAAACAGGCATTCAGTCAGGGAATTATGTGAATAGTATGTTTACATCAGGCATATTTCACCTTTTCCTAGTGGAGCAAGCTGCTTTTTTTTTTTTTAATTTGTCTGATGCCACAGTATGTATTTATCTAAAGATATGTAACATAATATATTTACCATTAATAAAGCCTGGCACCTGCATTTGCCAGCTTGGTTTTATTTAGCGAGTGAAGTGTTTCATGTGGAATAAGAGGAACAAAAAAGAGGGAAAATTTTCAAATTTTGTTAACTAACCTGACCTTTACCAGAACATCATACTCATATTTCCCTCTGTGAAATATTCTGTTGGCATTTCCAATGTAGCATGTCAAAAACTAAACTAATCATCTATCATTCTCCTTCTATTTTCCTCTTTCCTCCCATGCTCTAATCCAAATGCCTTTCTTCTCATATTTTTCATTCTGGTTAGTGCATTACCATTTACCTGGTCACTCAAAGCAGAAACTTTAGAATTAACCTCAACTCTTCTTCTTTCTTACTCTCTAAATTTACATAAGTGGATCATTATCAATTTTCTTTGAATAAAGACTAGATTTCACCCTTCTCTGTTACCACTGCTACTACTTAAAGAACTGAAGATATTTTACCACTGTTGACTTGCTACCATTTTTCAGTTTTCTAGTTGTTTTTTTTTTTAAACCAATATAGTTCTACAAGACATACTTGTAATCATGTTACTCCCCAAATACAAAATTTTTTGGATGATATTCAAGGTTCTTTGACAATATGGACCTTGATTTCATCTCCAGTTACAGCTCCTCTGGTATATTCTTGATCTTTCCTGAGTACACATATATTTATTAATTCATTCATTCATCCATCCATTTGTCCACAGATGTTTATATGTCAGCTATGTGGTGCTGTCCTAGGTACTTCGAAGATACAGAGGTAAATAAATATGACAGCTGTGATTATTGCCCATTAGTGCTTACAGAATGCCAGGTATATTTTACCAGGTGTCTTATTAAATGCCAGGTGTCTTTAACCATGCTATTTCAAATGTACTTTTACTATTTATAGAGGTTCTATTAATCTTTTATACCCTATTCAAGTGTCATCTCTTCTAAAGCATTTTGTGACTTTCTCAGGTACTGGTTCTTTGTGTTCCGGTAATAATTTATATTCATATCTCTATTATAGTATTTACTACATGTTATACTTACTTGCTTATAGTGGATCTCTCCTACTAGGTTGAATTTTTAAAATGGGCAAGAGAAAGATGAAAGAGGAACATAGAAATAAGGATTGAGGCAAGGGATAGAAAGAGGCAAGAAGAGGAGAGAAGGTAAACAGAAGCAGTATGAGTAGTAGTTAAGACGCAGACACTGGGGCCAGACAGGGTTTGAATCTTGACTTACTATCTGTACACATAGTTTAATATCTCTTTGTCTCAATTTACAATTGGGATGATAATAGGATCATTGTGAAGATTAAATGGGTTAATATATATAAAATGCTTAAAACAGTGAGTGGTATATAGTATATGCTGTATGTTTTTGTTGCTATTTTTGTTATCGATAACTAGCTTTCTTAAGTGACATGAGCTACATTTTCTCTTTCATTTAGTTTTCCAAGACATGGGAGATTTTCAGTCTGCATGATATCTAATCTTGTGTAGCCACTTAAGGCATTAAATGTCTGAGTGTTTTGAGCCTGGACTAAAAGAGGAACTCCTATATATATTTGTTATTACAGTGTAATATTGAAATACTGCTCTTTTTTGCCTCTTCATAACAGATTATGTTCTGCTTCTGATTTTCCTGGCTATCTGAAATGTTGATTTTAATTATTCTGTTTTTATTTTTACTCCATATCTCAGGCTTGATACATACCACTGTTTTTATGTCATATACCTTAGCTTCTTTTATTAAAATAGTTTTCTTCCCTGGCTGTGCTTCAGCCTGAGGACAAGACAGGCAAGGCTAATGTCTGGCTATAATTTCTTGGTTCTAGGAGCAAGATCTGTCCTTCAGCACCAGCCTGGTATCCAGCTAGCACTCCTACCATTCCTGCTGCCTCCTACTCTCACTCCTCCTCTCACTCCCATTGCCCCTGCCTTACAGTGTTACTCTGCTTCATCTTCTACTGCAACACCATTGACCCCGCTTTGAAAAGATATAATGTCTTATTCAGTTCTATACCTCGTATGCCTAACTTTTATAAATAATGAAAAAGGAAATCAAAGCACTCATCATTGACCAATTGGTGACTTCATTTTTAACAAATGAATTAAGATACTATTTGCCATTGCTCTCTGATTTAAGAATCTTAGAGAAAACAACGTTTTAGTTGCTGCTTGAATGATGGAGGAGGAAGAGTAGATTATACAGGGATCTTTGTAGGGGTGTTTGAAACTTAGAATCATTCTCAGCTAATACTTGAATATTATCTGTAAGACATGGAGGATACAAAAACTTAGCTCCTGTTTAACTTCAAATGACTGATATAGTGCCAAATAATAAAAAAGTTGAAAGAGAGATTGCCAAGGACTGGAGAAGCTGTCTTTTGTCTTTTCCCACTGTATAAAACCTCTCTAGGTGATTTCATATATTTGCTTGAGACCAAATTCTCTTGAAAATCTAGTAGCTTATCATAACAGAATTTCATTCAGTTTCTGGAATATAACATGATCCTCTGTCTCTGGGCTTTTGCGCATGTTATTTCTGCCTAAAGTAATTCTTATTAATTCTTAAAATATAATCATAGAGTCCATAACTTCCAGAAAACCTTTCTTGATCTTTCAGCACTGGAATAAGTGTTTGTGTGTTCTCATAGTCCCTGTTCTTTCCCAATCATAGCCTTTATTACACTATATTGCCTTTATTACACTGTGTTGTATCTGTCTTCACCAGATTGTTCAAGGAACTCAGGAACTGTTTATATAACAATGCCTGGTATATGATTGGTGCTCCAAATATATAAGTTGGTTGAGTGAATGAGTAGGATATAGTAGAGAGGCGTTGGTTGTTCTAGGCAAGGGAAGAGGATCAATAAAAACAAGGAGTGTGGTATTGAATATTGCAGATTCTGAGGCAATGAGTACAACATTTGACTGGAGTATAGTATTGAAAAGGGAGGCTGGAGCTTTAAATGCCACATTAGGGAATACACAGTTTACTAAGAAAGAGCGATTGAAGCTTTTAGAGATAAAAATAATGATATGTGTTCTCATAAATTTTGTTAAGTAATATATCCGTGCATGAGATATAACTTTTTTCTAATTCTTTTTTTTTTTTTTTGAGACAGAGTCTCACTGTATCACCCAGGCTGGAGTGCAGTGGTGTGATCTCGGCTTACTGTAACCTCTGCCTCTCAGGTTTAAATGAGTGTCCTGCCTCAGCCTCCTGAGTAGCTGGGATTACAGGTGCCCGCCACCATGCCTGGGTAATTTTTGTACTTTAGTAGAGACAGGGTTTCGCTATATTGGCCAGGCTGGTCTTGAACTCGTGACCTCAAGTGATCTGCTCACCTTGGCCTTCCAAAATGCTGGGATTACAGGCATGAGCCACCATACCTGTAGCCTTTTTTCTAATTCTTATTTTCAAATTTTTGCAGTGCTCTTCGATGGATTAGACATATGATGATTGCCTATTTTATAGACTCCTGTCTTTTTTTTTTTTTTTTTAAGACAGGGTTTTGTTCTGTTGCCCAGGCTGGAATGCAATGGCACAATCTTGGCTCACTGTGGCCTCTGTCTCCCAGGTTCAAACGATTCTCATGCCTTAGCCATCCAAGTAGCTGGGATTACAGGCATGTGCCACCATGCCAGGCTAAGTTTTGCATTTTTAGTAGAGACAGGGTATCACCATGTTGGCCAGGCTCGTCTTGAACTCCTGGCCTCAAGAGATTCTCCCCACTTGGCCTCCCACAATCACACCTCCCAGAGGGATTACAGGTGTGAGCCACTGTGCCTGGCTGACTCCTGTCTTTTAAGATTGTTCCTCTGAATATTTAAGGAAACTTAGAAAATTTGAATGAATGCTGCTGAATAGATTGAACAACTGTCATCAAACTTTGCAGTTTGTTTTTCTTATAAATGAAACTATTTTTAAACTATGACAATTAAAAAATATGATTCAAATAAGGTAGTAAGCTAACTTATGTTTGGGGTTTCCTTCTTATTTGTAGCTTAAAGAAAAATAAATGCTTACAGCTGTGACTTTTTTTTCTCTAGTATCTCCAGAGGCAGTTGGATTTTTGTCAGCTGTTGGGGTGTTTATTATCTTGATGCTGCTCCTTTTTCTCTATATTAATAAGAAGTTCTGTTTTGAAAATGTTGGCGGGTTTCCAGATCTTGGTTCAGAATACAGTACAAGGAAGAATTCACAAGATAAAATTTGTAAGTATCATATTGCTGCTTCTCTTGTTTGTTCTCTTTATCTGTACTATTATTTACTTATTTTAATATATGCAATAAAAAGGTTGGTTGTGACATACAATAAACTAATATTTGAGCTACTGTTCTGTAAAAGATCTGTTGAGTAAATTATGTTCAGGTGTCCTTCTGTTGTTCGTGAATTGCTAGTACATAAAGGTGAATTGTCTACTATCACAAAATGACATTTTAATTTTCATATGTAAGATATACTTTTGAGCCTATGATAGGAACAGTTACACTTGAGGAAGAAGGAAGTATGTTGTTACTTTATGTAGCATACTTCCATTGTCCAAGAAGCTCTTTAGAGAACTTTTTTCTCCACATCCCTAGAACACTTTTGAAAGTGTTCACCCTTTTTCTTTACCTGCTATTTAATTTTCAGCTAATGGGTAATTTTATTGTTTGGAGGAGTTGGAGGTGGTTCTACTTAGTAACTTAATTTATATATAAATTGTGATGATAAAAAATAGTGTTCTGCTCCCTCCCTTGGCACCATATATTATAGCGTTACTAGGAAAGATGAGGGCTGTAAATACCATTCTTTCTCTTATGGAAACATTTTCCTTGGAATGTTTTTTTAATTACTACAAGAGTTTTTAAAATTTTCTATTTCCAAAGACTGGTTTATATAAATGATAGCAGAAACGAATTGGAAATTATAAAAGCAAAGTGTTAATTTAGAAGAATGTGATGAAAAATAGCTGAGAAATCTTGCTTTACTTATCTGTGTACAGAGATAAGTGTTGGAGATATGCTTTTCTGTTACATCTGATAAAAGGTGATAGCCCTGTTACTTACAAGAATCTATAAGTTATTAAATTATATGTTGTGACTTTTGCATTAAGAAACTATAAGTAGTATTTTATACAGTTTTAATTTGGTTAAGTTCAATGCTTCTTATAATCCACTCCAGTCCTGCTTTTTGATCATTTGTGCAGAAAGAACTGGCTAAAAGTATCTCTTTACCGGCCTTTGGTAATTCACTGGTTCAGCGTTTCTGGCTTTTCCTTTGTTTAATGACAACTTTGTACAAATTTTATTAAGTACTCCCAAAGAGCTTTTTGTTTATGTGGATTTTATCTATTGATATGTACCATATTAGAGTTAAAACTGAGAAAATTTAAAATATTTATTTTTTAACAAAACAAGACTATTACACATTAATATAAATAACATCTTTAAATTAAAAAAGACTATCTTCCAAAACAAAAAGAAAATGGGGAAAAAATGGTGAGAAGAGTGATTTTGTTATACTTTTTGCAAATCTTTTTAATGACTAGCATAATGGAAGACAGCTGGATTCTCATTTCTGCCTCTACATTCAATCTGGCATGTAGCCTCTGGATAACTCGTGTTCACTTGTGAGCCAATGAGAATGAAAAAGTTAAGTACCTCCTTGCTGTTATTGTAAAACTAGTCTTGACCTTGAGGATCCCTTGAAAATGTCTCAGGGAACTTTATTTTTCTGAGCCTTGTTTTTCTTTCACTTATTAAATAGGAATAATAATATTTACCTCCTAGAATTACTATAAGATCAAGTGGGATAAAATGTGGCAATTACAATGCCTTGCATATAGTAGCCACTCAGCAAATGTCCACACCTCCTCTCCCCTAATCTTACCACTAGGCAAAATTGTTTAGATATTTCCCTCTAATATTTTTCTTAATTTGAAATGATACTGGGTAGTTTATTAGTAAGATAGGGTAGTTCCCTTACATAGACTATTAATAAGCAAACTAAAAGTACATAATAAAAATCCTTTTTATACTTCTTCTTTCAGGTATAGAATAAAAACCAATAGTATTTGAGGGAAAAATATTGTCTTGCTGCTGTTACAATAGCTGTGGAGTGAGAAAAAATATCATAACATTTAAACCAAGTGGTTTGATTTTTGTTTTTCGGAAGAATCTTTACTTCAGCATATTTCTTTCAATGCATAATGTATTTACAGAAAGATTGAAAGCTACAATGTGAATTGCTAATATTGAGCTGACGAATAGCAACATTTAAGTAAATGTTAAATTCAAGTTCCAAAGTGGTTGATATTTTGAGAAGAGAAAATTCTGTTACTGCACCTTTTGGGAACAAGGAATTAGAAAATGTCATTTTTCAGAAATTTCCAACAGAATCTGCCTTCAGTGTCCTCTCTGGTAGACACAATCAGTAGTGCTGTAGAGGATTTGACCACTGCTGTTGGGGAGGTCAGCTATGCTTTAACTGACTCAGTTGCTGAGCAGGTAACAAGTATGATAAGTGGCTTTCGCCCAGAAGAGGAAAGCTCTGTAGCAGAAGAAGCTGTAGACACTTCTAACCAAAAAAATGCCGGGTTAACAGAAGTTTCCAAAAACACTAATTGTCAGAAAACACAAGCCAATTTAGAGCATAGAGCAAAGCAAATAAATACTTGCAAAACTTCAGTTTCACAAAAGCAAGATCAAGGTATATATGAAGAAAGAGTATCTAAACATGTTAATGATAGGCAACAGACTCTATCAGGATATCAAGATACTGGTAATACTGGTGATTCTTCTTTGAAAGGCTGCATGAATAATGGTGGGATATCAGTTATCAAACAGAATACAAGGGCTAGATCTATTTGTCAAGAACTTGAAAGTACCAACAGATGTAAAACAATTGGACTAGGAGTTTCCAATAATGGTAAGAATGATTTAAAGGAGGTAAGATATCAAGAAATGAAAGGAAATCAGAAGAATGCCAATGGAATAAATAAATTATATGAGCAAAAGAAATACGTTGGTACAGATAATCGTGAAAAGGAAGAATATACTAAATCTCAACATGTATATTTGGGAAGAGATCAAGAGAATATGGGGCATTTCAATAAATATAAACATCTTCCCAATTTAGGGCATTCAGATCGTTTAAAGAAAGCTGAAAAATGTGTTAAAAGTAAAATATCTAAAGGGAATGAATGTTCAGGAAATGAATGTTCTTTAAAAGGTATTTTGACAAGCAATAGACATATGACACAGAAATCCATTATAAAAGAAGACATACATCCAGCACCATCAACTAATTCTAAAGATAAGTTATCTGGGAAAATTGAAGAACAAATAAATTCAAAGAAATACTGTAAAGTGAAAGAAGACATAAAACCGAAGAAAACTGAGGCAATTTCTGCCAAGAAAGGAACGGCAAAGAGTAAAGATGAAAAATATTCTAAGTTAATACCAGAAAAAGGTGAGGTCTCCTAATGTTGGTGTGAATGATTAAATTTTCTCTTGATTTTTTAAATTAGTAAAACATCATCCAAATTTCTCAGCTTTCCTATTCATGTGTCTGCATTTAAGACTTTCTTGAATCCTTTTACTGGGAAACATTTTTAAAGCCATTCAGTATTTTTTCTAAAATCACTTTGAGAGCATTCATGTTATTTGTGCTGCTAAGTATTGCCCCTGGTCCCTGCATTATTTGGCCAACTTTTCAGCAGCCCTAGTTTTTGTTAATGTCCCTATTATGTATGTAATCGTAGCAGAACTGAAAAGTCTTAATGTCCTCGTGATCCGCCCACCTTGGCCTCCCAAAGTGCTAGGATTACAGGCGTGAGCCACTGTGCCCGTCCATTCTAGCAATTTTTTGATTGTCAGATTTAGTGATCTTTGGTAGGCCCAGTTTAGTTCTGATAGACTTACTGCTTAAAGTAGCAAAAATTAAAAAATAATGTAAAATAGTTTACATATTATTTTATTCAGAAAATAATGGTAGAATGGACACTCATAATAAATACATTACAAGTAGCATGTAGGGTTTTTAACTTTTTAAATTTGTTTTCATTAAGAAGCATGCTAGTACCTAAAGAAATCAAATATTTCTAACATATTCCACAATATAGTCAGTACTAAACTTACGCATGTTCCCAAATGATTTTCAAAAGCTTTTTGATCCATAGGTTAACCCTTCATTTAGCTGAACAGTAATATTACTGGTACCTATGTTCCAGATTCTGACACAGGGTTTATAAGGTATAGAAAAAGGAGGAAGGCCGGGCACGGTGGCTCACGCTTGTAATCCCAGCACTTTGGGAGGCCGAGGCAGGCGGATCACGAGGTCAGGAGATCGAGACCATCCTGGCCAACATGGTGAAACCCCGTCTCTACTAAAAATACAAAAATTAGCTGGGCATGGTGGTGTGTGCTTGTAATCCTAGCTACTCAGGAGGCTGAGGCAGGAGAATTGCTTGAACCCAGGAGGCGGAGGTTGCAGTGAGCCGAGATCACGCCACTATACTCCAGACTGGCAACAGGGCGAGACTCCTCAAAAAAACAAACAAACAAAAGAAAAGAAAAAGGAAGGGTTTTCTTCTCTATTTCTAATGCAGGTTACGTTAGGTAATGTTTTTTAATAGGTGAAGTTTGGCCACAGACTAATTACCCTCCTCAAGAGACTCAAAACCTTTTGCTGCTTTAAGATCCCCACCGTGGTATCCAACAAAATGCTAACAGCTCTGCACTGGGAGTCGGAGGTCTTATGGCTCGGCCATCTCATTGTTGTCTAATAGTATTCAATGAAAAAGTCTTACATCTCTGCATTGTTCCATACAATAACCACTAGCTGCATGTGGCTGTTGAGCACTTCAAACGTGGCTAATAGCATGGGGAACTGGGTTTTAATTTCTGTTTAATTTTAATTAGTTTAAATAGCCACATGTGACTATTGGCTATGTATTGGGCAAACACTGTCACAATATGTGACATTGGTGATAGCATTACCCATTTATGGCTTTATTTTACTGATTTAAAAACTAGGACTAGACTAGATGACATATAACCTTTTTCTAACTCTAAGCATTTAGTTTCTGTCCTGTATTTAAAAATTACTTATTCTGTAACTCCCACTCAAATTTTAGCCTCGATTTCTTTACTACAGATGATCTTAACTGACTATAAAGAGAAAAATAACCCTGTTGAACTAATGAATTTTAACTACTGTAGTCTCTTCATCTTTCTAGAATTGTTTAATAATTCTAAGAAAGTTGCACCATTGTGCAGTTTCAAAGTGGTTACCTTTTTAAAAAACTGGTAATAACTAGTGCTTTTTAGAACAATAAAAAATTTAGACTTCCTGAAAGTTTTGTTTGAAATTTAGGTATATTTAAGTAAAATTTTCTTAGAAATTCTGCCTTTCACAAGCAGTAAGTGTTAACAGTTTGGTGTATATCCTTACAGATAGTTTTGTCTGTGCATACCTAGACTGCATTATGTGTGTGTACATACCACGTGTGTGTATATATATTTTTCAAATGGGAATGTAATTATAACTTCTACTTTTTAAACCTCCTTTTTTCTCATAACATGATATTGTAGTTATTCTTTCCCCGAGAGTTCTTTTAAGTTCACATCCTCATTTTTAATGACTGCATAGTATATCATTGAATAGATGTATCATATTTATTTAAACAAAGCCCACTGTTGGACATTTAGATTATCTCTTTTGCCATTAAATACAATGCAGTGAATTGTTTCAAAAATCTATCTTTACTCATCTGTTAATTAATTTCTTAGGCTGAATTCTTAGAAATAGAATTGATAAATTCCTGGAAATGGATCAGAGTATGCAGATTTAAAAGTCTGATATATTTTGCCAAATTGCTGTCTAGGAAAGTAATATCAGTTATAATTTCACCAATAGTGTATACCTGTCCATTGCTGTATTTTACTGCTAGCACTGAGTATTATCAGTTTTGAAAATTTCAACCAAAACGAGAACCAGAAATGTGTCTTTTAATGTGAATTATTTGAATCAGATCCATAGTACTGGCAATACTTAGAACTTCACTTATGTGTTACTTATACTTCAACAAATGTAAAATGGTAAGTATTATAATTTCCTTTATATATAACATGGTTGAAAAATCCCTGTGACTAACAAACATTATTTATATAATAGAATATACAAGCTGATCTTTTTCCAAAGCTTGGGCTTCTTATGTGAAAAAATTGTATTTCTTTAAATCTGAAAATTCAGGTTATATATGTGTATATATGTGTGTGTGTGTATATATATATTTGTGTATATATATGTGTGTGTGTATATATATATATTTGTGTATATATGTGTGTGTTTATATGTATAACTTCAGCAAATTTTCCATATTTGATTGCATAAAAATTTTCATTTCACAGGCCCAGCAGGGCCAGTTGAGGGGAGGGAAATTTTTTTTCAATTACGGTTTGTTCTTCATGTCATTCCAAATAGATAATTCCTATATGGACAAAGATGAGCATGGTTCGTCCTCTGAAAGTGAAGATGAAGCACTGGGTAAATATCATGAGGCCTTATCCAGAACACACAATTCCAGACTACCACTGGCAGATTCTAGACAAAAGAACTATGCTTGGGAAACAAGGCAGAAATACAGTCCTTTATCCGCAGAGTATGATGGATACAGTAGTGAAGCCTCAATAGATGAAGGTAAGATGGGCTGTTTTATTTTTTTACGTGACACACTATAGTATTCGATTACTTGTGCCTGAAATTCTAGGAATCTGTGGTTGCAGAATAAACAAGAGAGCTCACACGGTAGAGTCACATTTCTGGAAATGTAATTTATTCAAATTCATATCTTTGGGCTCAGGCCAAAAATCAAAACCAATACCAAAACACCCCAAAGCAAAAACCAAATAATTTACGTGATGTGATAATTGTAGCTCTCATTTCACAGTGAACATATGCTTAGCAAGCATGATATGGAAGATGTGAATCTGCTGTTCTCTCAGATGGAATCAGTTCTCTATACCTGTTATAGGAACTGATAGAGTTTAAGTCTCTCACGGTGTTGAATATGATTCCAGTGTGTAAATGTATGCTGTTTCATTCAATATGGCTCCTAAACACCAGCCAAATGTTGCACATGGCACACAGCGGAAGAAATGGTAATCTGTTTTGTGCAGAAGGGAAAACTGTCTGAGATGAATTTATTGAGAGCTGGTACTATATTGTACCATGCTTTAAAGGCAATTTAAGGGATTTTCAAGGATTTCAGTAATTTGAAGGATTATTTGTCTCTAATTGATTTTGTGTTATGTACTGAAATTGACTTTAAAACTCAACCTGTATAGAAGATGTCAGTCCATTTATACATGTTTTTACATCTTTCTGTGACATAAATAAGATAGGTTTTGCCATTAATTAAAGCATATTTATTTCCACATTTAAATTATTCACTTGCTTAATAGACTGTATGGGTGCTCATCATGATTATTATCTTTATACCCAGATATGAAGGGAAGAATAACATATCCTAGATATCATTTTTATCAGTATACATAAACACAAGCTATCCTTGATTTTGTAGCTGTGACTTAATGTTTTAGGGCCTATTACTATTGATGACTTTGAGTCTTATCCCAACATGTACAGTTGTCAAAGGGGATAAATCGTCTATTACTGTATTTGGCTTCATGCCAACTAAAGATTAGTGTACCTCAATTCTTATGTCTGTTAGTACACAGATATAATAATAAATTAATCAAATACTAAATGATTGCTATATGGTCATTATGAGATTCAAGGGAAAAGATAAAAAATATTTGACATGTACTGTACCCTCAAAAATACAGTTTAGTACTAGGGAAAAGAAGACATGTGCTTACTAAGTTAATTAAATAATGCAAAGCAGTAAAACCAGTCCCCAAGTTATGTACACCTCTGGTACAAGAATAGTAGAGCAGGAAGAGAATGTGTTTTGAGATCTGGTCCTTATTAACGTTCTGGCCATATCTCTTAACATATTAACTGTGAGACCTTTGGCAATATAGTTCATTGTTTTTAGATTTCTTTCATTGTCTGTAAAATATGAGTAATACTGAACTGGTAGGGTTGCCATGAAAATTAAATGATAGATGTGGTACAGTTTTTAGCATAGTGTCTGATAGCTCATAAGTAAGTGATAAGTAAATGTAGCTAATTATAATGGTAGTGAAAACAGTGATGGTCATGAGCAAGCCCTGAGTGTGCATTCCCTTTTTGCAGGTGTACATTTAGGATTTATTTTCTATTCATTTCTCTTTCCTCTCACCCCAACACCCCTCTGCTGTCTTGAGCATGTCTCGGTAGTTCTGTTAGTCTAGCCTGACTTTATAGACTATGGAAAGAGCAGTGAGGAGAGAGATACAACCTAGGTGCTTTTACTATTCTTGCCCTAACCTCTGCAAGTGGTCCAAGTGTCCCAGAATCACTTTCTCATTTTAGTTTACCCATATATTTAGGAGCTATCCTGTACTTTTTTACACATTCCTACCCTAAATTATTTGATGAAACACGTAATTTTAGGCATTCCGAGATTAGATTTATTTATTTTGTAAACATGAAAAGCTTTTGTGAACACTTTTTAGCAGTCATACACTGCTAGATACTGTGGATATGAAGATCATAAGCTTGTTTCTCTCAAAAGCCTACTGACGGCTGGGCACGGTAGCTCACGCCTGTAATCCCAGCACTTTGGGAGGCTGAGGCGGGCGGATCATGAGGTCAGGAGATCGAGACCATCCTGGCTAACACGGTGAAACCCCGTCACTACTAAAAAAATAGAAAAAATCAGCTTAGTAAAAAAAATCATTTTTTACTAAACAAAAATCAGCTGGGTGTGGTGGCCGGTGGCTGTAGTCCCAGCTACTCAGGAGGCTGAGGCAGGAGAATGGCATGAACCCGGGAGGTGGATCTTACAGTGAGCCGAGATCGCGTCACTGCACCCCAGCCTGGGCGACAGAGCAAGACTCTGTCTCAAAAAAAAAGAAAAAAGCCTACTGACTGGAGGAGGAAAATCAGTGAGTGTATATGTACTATAATATGATGAGAGGTCTGTTAGTCACATGAACAAAGTGCAGTAGAAATATAGAAGAGGAAAAAAAAAGAAAAACTGTTTTGAGATGGAGTCTCACTCTGTTGCCCAGGCTGGAGTGCAGTGGCATGATCTTGGCTCACTGTAACCTCTGCCTCCTGGGTTCAAGAGATTCTGCTTCCTCAGCCTCCCGAGTAGCTGGGATTACAGGCACGTGCCACCATGCCCAGCTAATTTTTGTACTTTTAATGGACATGGGGCTTTACCTGGCTGGTCTCGAACTCCTGACCTTCTGATCTGCCCACCTCGACCTCCCAAAGTGCTGGGATTGCAGGCATGAGCCACTGCACCCAGCTGACAAAACTTTAAAAAGTAAAAATAATAGAAGATACACGGAGTAGGAGGTGATTTCGATTTTGGGAGATAGGAATCTCAGGAAGTCTAATGGGGTCTAGGTGAGCTGGACTTGAGTGAGAATTATTTCAACAAGCATGGAATAGGGCTTTCATGCAATCATGAATCCAAAAGAAAGTGTATTTCAGCGCCTCTAACTTGGGATCTTTGTTCGAAGAAGGGGAATGCCTTGCTCAGTAGTTTTTAAGCAGGAGAGTGTGATACAATGTAGAGAATATTTCAGGGATGGAGAGAAATCCACTTGACTCCAGCATAGCTGCATCTATACATATACATCTGAGGGAATAGTAGTTAAAATTGAAAAGAGAGATGAGGTTGAAGGCCTGGAGTGCCCCCTGACTAGGAAGATAGGGTTTAATTTGTTTGCCAGTGAGAATTTGCTGAAGAGTTTTTTACTAAGGAATCATAATCAGGGTTGTGCTTCAGAAAGATTAATTTAGCAGCAAGCGGACTGTCAGAAAAGATACCGATTAAAGAGATCTATAGGGTAGTATATGTGGAAAATGATAGAAGTTTGAATTACAGTAGTGGCAATAGAAATAAAGTAAGATAGGAGAGCGATTATTGAGGTAGAATTTACTGGATTTAGGATCTGAATGTGTTTGGAACATTTGGAAAAAGAAAGGAAACATCAGAGATGACTGATTTCCATCATGTATGGTGAGGAGAATGATGACGTCATTAATATAAATATGAAATCCAGACAGGGACCTGTGTTTGGTTGGAAGGGGGCAGTGGATAAGAGATATAATAAGTGATTTTACATAGTGATGAGGCAGGATATTTAAGCAGTTGGAAATGGCTATCAAGCTTGTAATCATGAATGCATTTGAGGGAGAAGTTTTCAGATCATATATGCTTAGAGAATGGAAGCTATGGGCATGAATTAAATTGATGAAGGAGAATGCGTGGAGAGAAAAGATCAGAGAATCATTTCCTTTGACAGGAGAATTAGGGGTGTCATGAAAAGACACAAAGAAACAGTAAAAGAGATAAAGAGGAGATTCAGGAAAATGTTATATTTTATCAGCCTTGGAAGAAAAGTTTTAGAAGAAGAAGGAAGGCAGCGTGGTTGGGGAGGGTGATAATTCAGATAAACCCGTTTGTCCAGTAGAGGTTGATCAATCATTTTCAATTAGAGTTTTAGGAGAGTAATAAGGAAGTCAGATTGAGTGTTGTTAAGGAGAGGATAAGTGGTAAGGAAGTATACATTTGCTGCCTAGGCTTTCTTACCATCTATTCTCTCCTTATCAACTCTGAGAGTCAGAGAGGTGGTTGAGGGGTTTTGTTTGTAACCCAACTGTTCACTTTCTTTCTCTCGCCCACTGATACTCCCCTCTGTTATATGTTTGGGAAAGAAGGGGATTTGCGTCTCCATCTGGTGGTTGCCCCTTGGCAAAGCTGCCTCTGCAGAAACTGCTACTTTGTGGCTGATCACCCACCTAAGAGAACTGCTGGGTACAGTTCTCTTGGTAGGACTTCATTCATTTTCTTGTGTGAGTAGAAAATAAATGACACACAAATAAAGAGATGAATAGAGTAAGTTACATTTCTTATTGCTGTGATCCTGTGGTCTGCATGTGACCATCACACAAGTTTATAAAGGTTAAACTTGACTAATGTGAGTTAACTAAAGGGAATCACAAGGTAGAAGGAAAAATATTTAAAAATATACATTTTTTTACATGGCATAATATTTACCTCATTAATGCTAATAAGGAACCTTTAGTCTATTTCTCAACAGCCTAAGTAATTCCAGTTGAGAAACTTTGGAACAGCCAATTTTGAAAACAAATCTGCAGGAGTAGAGAAGATTAGAGAGGACCTGAAGAGGTATTAGGAGACACTAGTGCAAGAGAAATTTTACCAGGTAGCGAGGACTGCCATTTATTGAGTTCCTACCATGTGCCTCACTCTGTTTCTGTTATGCTGTCATATTTAATTTTCATTGCCATGTATGGTGGTAGGTAAGATTCTACAGAATTGAAGTGACTTTGATTATTTTTTTAACCCAAAGTCACACAGCAAGATAAAAACTATACTTGTCAAGTCGACAGCAAAATTAATGTTATTTGGCTTTCATTAGGTCATCACTGCTACTTTAATATTTCCCCTAAGTCTGTTTCATACAAGATGAACCCCTTCAATTGGTCCTTTAGAGCAGGTTATATGTTATGAATCTGAAATACACATATTCTAGAAAAAGTAAGAAAATGTA